TCAGCACGGGGTTGGCACGACTGTCGGCAGCTGCGTCGACGGGCAGCGCAGTGGCAGACTGCAGCCCAGCCTTGGCCGCGCAGGCCAAGCAACTCAAGGAGCGGATCAACCACGTTTTATTCATAGTCGCATGCAGTACGACGTGGTTTCCCCGCCAGGGCATGTTGGGTTGATTTCCGTTGGGCAATGCATGCATGTTCTGCTCAGGTTGGGTTGATTTCCGTCTTGACCCAGTGCTTCGTCCTCCCCAGACACTTCACAGGCACCGCCCTTCTCCCACCAGTGCACCAGAAGAATGCCGACGCTCAAGGTAGATCACTCTCTCACTCCTCAGCAAGTGATGAATCTCAAGTGGAACTCACTTCCTCACGGTAAGAAGCAAGAAAGCATGGTAGATAAGGTCAGAGACAACGTACCTCATAATGCTGCCCCCGACCATAGATTTCTCATCACCCACGGCAACGTGCGTCTGGTTGACCGGTCGTAGCGTTGGAGCCACCAAGAATACAATGCACGTGCCTCCGTTGCGAATGCCACGTCTTCACACTCTCAACACCAATCACGCACCGGATAATTTCCCAAGCGTCCAGCAGCATCCCTCTCTACCCAGGGACCGACAAACTTCCACACAGCACGATCGTACTCGCACTGTCGGGATCAACCCACGTGCACCGAAGAAACAGGTAGCGCTTGAGCCGAAGGGACTAAGCGTACAAACCAGCTCCGAGACCGAACTGTAACGAAATGAACAATGCGAATGAAAACAAACCAGATTGCAGCATTCCACATAAATTCAGATAACTTTGACACCGAACTGCAAGCAGATTGCAAACTGAGATAGCACCAAATAAGTATCAATTTCTAATCTCATAGCCTCATAATAATTCTGTAGCGCTTCTGCATATTCTCCGTCGGCTAAGCGAAGCATTGAAGTCACGTGATAATGAAAGCCCTCTCCTCGCCTCCAATCACCAATGTCACAATGTAGCTCGCCTACATTGTGACATCGCCTACATTGGCGCTTGGCGCCCAGACTACCAACAGCCAGTTCCTATTGTCCCAGACTCCTAGCTACAACAGGCCTTCAATGAAGAACATCAGCCTGATGACGAATGAAGACTCGAGTGAACGGCCCGCTCCTTCACCAGGTAAGCGCGCCTCATCGCATCACCCCCTCTCCCTGGCTTCCTCTACGGTCTCCTCCCAAGGACCACCACCTTCATCCTCCAGTTATGGCTGCTGCACCCTCCTTCCTTGCTGCCCCCAGCAGCTTCCTCGTGATCGCCCTTCTCCTCTCATCTAGTGCTCGTCCGCGTGAGCGAACGCTCCAGCCGAGCTGCTGTGTCCAGCCAGCCCGAGTGTGTGAGTGAGGCAGCCTCCCTCTCTGTTGTGCTGGCTGTGAGGCATTCGGACTGGCTGGACTGGCTGCGCCCTGTCCCGGTACCTGCGCCCTGGGCCTCTTCGGAATGTGCCTGGGGGCCTATCTGTGTGAGCCCTGGGCCTCAGCATGTTCAACCATCCGGGGGTTGGGCCCTACCGGTTGGTTAAAGATGGGGTGTGCCGCAACTTCCCACCGGGCCCCATTTTCAGCTCACACAGGCCTTTACGTAGGCCAGGCGTGAATTTTGGAGGCCCACTTTCACTTAGGGCAGGTACGGCCTTGCTGAAGCCTTGCAGAGGGGCTCAACCCTCGCAATAGGGTCCTAGGTGCGGAAATAGAAGTTCTAAGGTTGATGGCCTAGGGGCACATTGTCCAGGCTGTGTCCCTAGTGCCTCAGAAAGTCATCCGAGACCCCAGGAGAGTCAACAGTCAGTCTCTGCTGAGGTTAGCAGTCAAAGATTTCTTCAGAAGCCAACCATAGCTACAGGTCACAGACAAATTGAAAGGCTGAGAATCTGTTCCAGAAGCACCTAGGGGCTACTGGGTTCAGGGAGCCTCAGATTGCGGCCAGTTCTCAGTCGCTCAGGCCGGAGCATCTCAGCCCTTCAGGTGCTAGGCAGGCCAAGCCAGTCAAACACTACAATTGCCCATGTTGTGTCATTCGTTCTGCTTTGTGCATGCTTGTGGAGCGCTGCCTGGTGCTGAGCATTAGTGTTTGGGAGGAGCAGGCAGACCAAGAGAAGAAAATGAAAATGATAGGAGTAGAAGATGCTCATGCACCATAGCCGAGAGTAGTGAGAGTGAGAGACAGAGAGGGGTATGAAGGACATGCCATAGCCTGTGATAAAGTGGGGGGAGAGAGAGAGAGAGAGAGAGAGAGAGAGAGAGAGAGAGAGAGAGAGAGAGAGAGAGAGTGAAGCTTACCTTAGACTTAGCTGCTGGTGTTGCAATTGAACAATCCCTTGCTTAAAGAGGCCGACGTTGCCATATCTGGTGTTGCTCTCCTAGTGCTGTCTTCCCAAGGCCAGCAACAGTGTGATTGGCAGGGCGTTGCAAGAGGGGAAGTAACTGCATGGGAAGTAGATGATAGGATTACTACTTGCCAAGCTGAAGCATTGAGGGAGAAGAGCCCAGTGGATGAAATAGGACCAAGACGAGACATGGTAACAGTTGGTTATTATCTTGACGTGTTCTTCCTGCCATTCTTTTTCTTCTTTTGTCTGGTCATATGACTACATTTCTAACTCTTTGCGAGTTGTCATTCACTGAGCATTGTGAGTACCCGCATGATGATGATGCCGTGAGCTTCCTTTCCTGTCCCCTCCCTTCCCCCCTCCCTTCCCGTCCACTCTCTTTTCCCTTATGCCCTCCTCCCTTCCCTTCCCTTCCCTTCCCTTCCCTTCCCTTTCCTCTCCTCCCCTCCCCTCCCCTCCCCTTCC